CAGCCTCTACTGGATGGCAGGGAAGACTATGCATAACTCCACCCTTCCTACAGGTACAACATGACCCTGACTGTCCTCCCTGTCTGAGTTGTTCAAGGCATGGTGGTGTAGCGGGTAATGCTTTGGGCTGCTTGACTACAATGTTAGCAGTTCAAGGCCATCAGCTGCTCTGTGGAAGAGAGATGAGGCTTTCTGCTCCCATAAAGATGCACAGCTTTGGGGCAGCTCTCCTATAGGGTTTCTGTGAGTCCAAATGGCCTTGAAGATCTGAGTCAGTCCTCCTTCGTTAGCGTAAATGGTTCTAAGGTTCTAAGCTAACGTTTTGAGTTTCTGGTGGAGTAGTGGTTATGAGTTGGAGTGTTAATTGCCAGGTTAGCAGTTCAAAAGCACCAGCTGCTTCGTGAGAGAAAGAGGAGGCTTTCTATTCTTGTAAAGAGTTACAGTGGCAGAAACCCACGGGGGCAGTTCTATTCTGTCCTATAGGCTTCCTATTGACTTGATGGCAGTGAGTCTGGTTTGGGGGAGTTTTTTTTGTCAATTTGATCCATGGTACACCATTTTAGACATATGTGTTTTATACACAAATCAGGTCAGCAATTCCACTCAACCAGTAGAACTATGGGAGAAAGACGAGACTTTCTGTTTCCGTAAGGGGGTACAGCTTCAGAGGCCCACCGCGGCAGCTCTGCTCGGTCCTAGAGGGTCCTCATGAATCAGCGTGGACTTGATGGCGGGGGTGGGGCTGGTCTGAGAATGCTGGGAAATCGAATGGGCATGAATTTGGAATCCCGAAGTTGCTCTTCCATCGATGAACGATGCGAATGTGAGCCAGCCACGGAGCCTCGGTTTTCTAATCTTTAAAATGGGATAAAAATTGAAAAAAAATGGAATAAAACTTAGATGAGGGGTAACCCAAAAACCCCGGAATTTTTATTTTCAATGCTATGTATTAAAATTTTTATTTTTACAGAACAGCCTTATCACCTTCAAAGTACTCTCCATTACCCTTAATACATTCGTCAAATCTGTGATTCCACTTTTTTTTTTTTTTTGCAGCCAGGTGGCTTTATTTGCAAGGCCGGGTTAATCAAACAAGCCAAAGCCCATGTTGTCATCTGACTCCTCGGATTCCTCCTTCTTCTCACCTTTCTTCTCCTCTGCTGCGGCTGGGGCTGAGCCCGGGGCAGCGGAAACGGCCACACACCACCGGCAGGCACACTGGCAAGCTTGCCAATACCCTGGGAATAATGTCTTCAATGTTCTTCCTGCTCAGCTCACTGAAGACCTTGTGGAGCCGGTCGTCGTAGGCCTTGATGTCCTTGGCGCTGGGTGACGCATTGCCCCCGAGTTGGGCAACACATTGCCCCCGAGGGCTGCCAGCTGGTTGGAGGCAACGAAGCGTATTCCAGCGGCGGTGGACAGGCCTCACATGTGCGACCTCGGTGGCTTCTGGGAGGAAAAGGTGATTCCACTCTTGGAAACATTTTTCAAACTCATCTGTTTGGATGGTTGATAGCACCTCCCTTGGTTTTTTCTTCACCTCTTCTACTACATTCTCAAATCACTGACCTTTCATGTGCCTCTTCATTAGTGGAAACAAAAAGAAGTTGCACAGAGTGAAGTCAGGTAGTAAGGTGCATGGGGCAAGAGAGGCATGCTGTTTTTTGCCAAAAACTGGCACACTGAGATGGCTGCCTGAGCAGGTGCATTGTCGTGGTGGCAAAACCAGTGTTCCATCTGCCACAAATCAGGCCTTTTTTGCCACACACTGTTACACAATCTTTTCAGAACCTCTAAATAGAAAGCTGGATTAACAGTCTGATCTGGTGGAATGAACTCCAAATGCACTATCCCCCTCACATCACATCTGGTTTTGGGGGGGTACCCCCTTGTATGATGTTCCTCATCTTGCAGTTTGCATATAGCAACTCTCTAAGTTGATTTATTCTCCTGTTTACCTGTGGAACTCCTACTCATCCTTAAAAATCCAGATCAAATATTACCTTCTTGGTAACATTCTCTCGAAAAGTCTCCAGATTCTATCTTTCCTGCATGGGGCTTACGATTCTCTGCTCACCATGTTGTTTGTCTGGCTCTCACATACAAGCATGCAGCCAGAAAACATTTGTTGCACAAACCCAGGCACCAGCTTCTGGGCTGCGAGCCCTGGACTTCTCACCCCTTCCCTACACCCATCAGCCACACCAGAGCTAAGGAAAGAGGCAATCAGCAAGGTGAGCAGCCTCTGCCTCACTGGAAGAAGGAGGTGGGGGCCAAGGTAAGGGTGCTTTTCAGCCAGAGAGGAGGCAGAGTTTGGGGGTCTGCAGTCCGGGGAGGTACCCTCATCAACTCCATCAGCAGCTGGATTTTGCTGTGGGCCCAGTCACGTGGGTTCAAAACAAAAGAAAACCCCAACCAAACTTACTGCCATGGAGTCATTTCTGACTCAGCACCCGTAGGACAGAGTAGAACCATCTGTGTGGGTTTCTGAGACTGTAAATCTCTACAGGAGTAGAAAGCTTCAACCTTCTGCAGAGAGGCTAGTGGTTTCAAACTGCTGAACTTGCAGTTAGCAGCCCAGTGGTCACCCAGTAGCCCACTATGTCCCTGGGACCAAAGGATGCAACAATTTGTTGGGTGAAAGAGCAGGAGGTAGGGCAGGTGGGTGTCCCTGCAAAAGTGAGAAGGAAAATTTGCGGGTTATGGGCAGAGGGAGGAAGGAGAGTGGGGAGGGGTGGGGGTGGGGGTGGGAGAAGGCAGATGGATGGTATATGTAGACGTAGAGGAGGGGGGAGGGATGAGAACTGGGGAGACAGAGGGAGGGGCACATGGGAAGGAGGTGAAAACCACAAGGCCTCCTGGAGCCCAAAGTCCCAGGGTGCACTTGGATGGGAGGCCCCGCTCCTCTTGACTCCAGCCTTGGGGGCTGCCTTTCCTCCCCTCCAGCCCTCCCACCCATGGCTTGGCTGGCTGCTCCGCCCTTGGCACAAGTCCAAGGCAAATTCTCTGGTAAGCCTCTTGGAGGAAAGATGAGTTGCAGCTGAAGGCAGCCCCGGAGATGGAGTTCATTTGCCGACTTCCCTGGACTCTCCGTCCATGGCTCAGTTGAGGGGCCAGGTGGGGGCTGAGGACTCCAGTCTGGAAGGACTTGAGCAGTGGGAGGGGGAAGCAGGGGTTCAAGGGCAGGAGGAAGGTCTCTGCAGTCCCTAGGCAGCCCCTGCTCTGGAGCTCAGGGCTCGGCCCTGCAGGAGGGCCTACCTTTCCTAAGGCTCTGTAGGAGAGATCTTCCTCTGGTTTGCCAACCTTGGACCCCCAGTTGCAGGGGTCTGGAGCAGGTCTGGGCATTGTTCCGGGACCCATGCCAGGAGGCAGAAGCCAGGTGAGAACTCACCAGGCCCCGGGAGGGATGAAGGAGCTCCTGCCTGCTTCTTTAGGAGCGTCCTAGCTCAGGAACTGTGCTGGAGTCCATTAGCGGCCTATGCTTCATTTGACTCTCCTC